CACTGGATGATGTGACTTTGTAAGCTTCTAACCTTTGTTGAAAGTATCAGAGTTTAATGGTGGCACCTTACAATGTATTTTAAGGCAGCATGTACTGTACAACAAACTGCTTGCTTGTTTAACATCTTAGAAATATATATATATTTATATATATATATATATATATATATAATGGACCTCCACCATTGTTGAAAATTCCAGGTGCCAGAGGCAGCATCTTTCCGCTTTCAAAACCTGTATAAAAAATCTAAACAGCACAGAAAAGTCCAGTTATAATAATGTCCCATCAGTTACCAATCCAAGGACTTCAATAATATCCTTGCTAGAGCTGGGGAGTGATCGTTTTCATCCAACGCTAAGAAAGTCTCATACTGACATGAGCTGAAAGTCTATTTGTCATAAAGCAAAAACAAAAAAAATGCCAGACTCCAGTAAGTATACAAATGCACACAGAGGCAAACTAACTGTGGTTATCTAATTATAACTTGTTTCAGTTGTATCTGGTTAATTTTGCAAGTTAAGGATTTTAAAAGTTATAAAATTAGCTCTGATTACAATCTGCAATTGCAGCATCAGCCTAAAACAGGTTTGAGCTTCATTATGAGGAAAAGTATTGCCGTGAAATGGTGCATTATATTTAAGAGACAAGTCCTCTTTAATAATGAGGATCATCTTTCAAAGTACTCCAGAAATGGGATGAGAGAACGATAGACATAATAGATAAGGTTGGAATATATAAACCAGCCCCTATTTACAGGATCTGATCGTGCCGATTTTCATATAAACATCATCATCTCCCTTCCCCCTTGAATGATGACACAACCTCTTCCTCCAAGCTGTGTAACTCGATCCAGTCTCTCCGACCAGAGAAGGTCCCATTAGCACCAGCCTGGGGCACCCAAGGGACTCCAGGGGGTAAAGCGTCCCACCGCACCAACTCCACGTCAGAGACTAATCACGCCAGCCTCCCATTGGTGGAGAATGGATCGGCCCAGAGCAGGAGAGGAGGTTCTATTGGTGTACTGGGAGTGAGAGCTATGGCAGGATGTGGGCAGAGTTGTGCAGTTAATGGACTGATCGATCGACGTCCTCATCAGCCCATACACACAAGAGAAAGAGCAGGTTATGTGGGGCCACCTGAAAGGATCTGTCACTGTGGAAATGGGGAAAAAATGGTTAAGGTTCAAAGAGAATCCTGTTTTAACCTCCCCAACATGTTCAAACTGTAACTCTTTTTGTTTCTTTGCCTGGCTTTTGTTGCTCATCATCAACAGTTCTGTGAATATATATGTGTATATATATATATATATATATATATATATATATATATATATATATATATATATATATATATATATATATATATATATATATATACGGTGAGGAAATAAGTATTTAGCACCCTTCTAGTTTGCAAGTTCTCCCACTTAAAAATCATGGAGGGGTCTGAGATTGTCATCACAGGTGCATCTCCACTGAGAGAGACATAATCAAAAAAAAAAAAAAGATTCAGAAATCACAATATATGATTTTTTAAAGTATTTATTTGTATGATAAACTTGCAAATAAGTATTTGAACACCTGAGAAAATCAAAGTTAATATTTGGTACAGTAGCCTCCGTTGGTATTTACAGAGGTCAAATGTTTCCTGTAGATGTTAACCAGGTTTGCACACTGCAGCAGGGATTTTGGCCCACTCCTTCACACAGATCTACTCTAGATCAGTCAGGTTTCTGGGCTGTCGCTGAGAAACACAGAATTTGAGCTCCTGCCAAAGGTTTTCTATTCGATTTAGGTCTAGAGACTGGCTAGGCCATGCCAAAACATTTACAGGTGCTGGTCATAAAATTAGAATATCATGAAAAAGTAGATTGATTTCAGTAATTCCATTTAAAAAGTGAAACTTGTATATTATATTCATACATTACATACAAACTCATATATTTCAGATGTTTATTTTGTTTAATTTTGATGATTACAAATGACAACAAATGAAAATCTCAAATTCATCATATCAGAAAATTTGAATATTACTGAAGACCAATAAAAACAAAGGATTTATAGAAATGTTGGCCAACTGAAAAGTATGAACATGAAAAGTATGAGCATGTACAGCACTCAGTATTTAGTTGGGCCTCCTTTGGCCTGTATTACTGCAGCAATGCGGCGTGGCATGGAGTCGATCAGTCTGTGGCACTGCTCAGGTGTTATGATAGCCCAGGTTGCTCTAATAGTGGCTTTTAGCTCTTCTGAATTGTTGGGTCTGGTGTATTGCATCTTCTTCTTCACAATACCCCATAGATTTTCTATGGGGTTAAGGTCAGGAGAGTTTGCTGGCCAATTAAGAACAGGGATACCATGGTCCTTCAACCAGGTACTGGTAGCTTTGGCACTGTGTGCAGGTGCCAAGTCCTGTTGGAAAATGAAATCTGCATCTCCAAAAAGTTGGTCAGCTGCAGGAAGCATGAAGTGCTCTAAAACTTCCTGGTATGTGGCTGCGTTGACCCTGGACCTCAGAAAACACAATGGACCAACACCAGCAGATGACATGGCACCCCAAACCATCACTGACTGTGGAAACTTTACACTGGACTTCAAGCAACGTGGATGAAGTGCCTCTCTTCTTTTCCTCCAGACTCTGGGACCTTGATTTCTAAAGGAAATGCAAAATTTACTTTCATCAGAGAACATGACTTTGGACCACTCACCAGCAGTCCAGTCCTGTTTCTCTTTAGCCCAGGCAAGACGGTTCTGACGCTGTCTGTGGTTCAAGAGTGGCTTGACACAAGGAATGCGACAGCAGAAACCCATGTCTTTCATACGTCTGTGTGTGGTGGTTCTTGAAGCACTCACTCCAGCTGCAGTCCACTCTTTGTGAATCTCCCCCACATTTTTGAATGGGTTTTGTTTCACAATCCTCTCCAGGGTGCGGTTATCTCTCTTGCTTGTACACTTTTTTCGACCACATCTTTTCCTTCCCTTCGCCTCTCTATTAATGTGCTTGGACACTGAGCTCTGTGAACAGCCAGCCTCTTTAGCGATGACCTTTTGTGTCTTGCCCTCCTTGTGCAAGGTGTCGATGGTCGTCTTTTGGACAACTGTCAAGTCAGCAGTCTTCCCCATGATTGTGTAGCCTATAGAACTAGACTGAAAGACCATTTAAAGGCTTTTGCAGGTGGTTTGAGTAGCTGATTAGAGTGTGGCACCAGGGGCCATCAATTTTGAACCTTTTCACAATATTCTAATTTTCTGATATGATGAATTTGAGATTTTCATTTGTTGTCATTTGTAATCATCAAAATTAAACAAAATAAACATCTGAAATATATGAGTTTGTATGTAATGTATGAATATAATATACAAGTTTCACTTTTTAAATGGAATTACTGAAATCAATCTACTTTTTCATGATATTCTAATTTTATGACCAGCACCTGTATATGCTTCTTCCAGCGCCGCTCCTTGGTTATCCTGGCTGTATGCTCGAGGTCATTGTCATGTTGGAAGACCCAGCATCAACCCATCTTCAATGCTTTAACTGAGGGAACAAGGTTGTTCCCCAAAATCTCACAATATATGGCACCGGTCCTTAATACAGTGAAGTGATCCTGTCCGATGTGCAGAAAAACACCCCCAAAGCATTATGCTACCACCCCCATGCTTCACAGTAGGGTTGGTACTCATTATTCTTCTTCCTCTAAACAGTTAGTGGAATTACGACCAAAAAGTTCCATTTTGGTCTCACCTGACCACATGACTTTCTCCCATGAGTCCTCTGGATCATCCAAATGGTCATTGGCAAACTTAAGACAGGCCTTGGCATGTTCTTTAGGGAAACCTTCCATGTCATGCATGATTTCAAACCACAACGTCTTGGGGATTACCAACAGTAACCATGGAAACGATGGTCCCAGCTCTTTTCAGGTCATGCACCAGCTCCTCCCATGTAGTTCTGGGCTCATTTCTCACCTTTCTTAGGATCTTTGAGACCCCACAAGGTGAAATCTTGCATGGGCCCCAAGCCTAAAAGAGATTGACGGTCATGTTTACCTTCATCCATTTTCTAATGCTCCAATAGGGGACCTATTTTTCACCAAGCTGCTTGGCAATTTCCCATAACCCTTTCCAGCATTGTGGAGGTGTACAATTTAGTCTAGTTTTCTTTGGACAGCTCTTTGGTCTTTGCCATGTAGGCAGTTGGTTTCCTACTGATAGTATGGGGTGGACAGGTTTTTTCGTGCAGCCAACAACCTCAAATGGGTGCATTTAATTTAGGATAATAAATGGAGGTGGACATTTTGAAGGCAGACCAACAGGTTTTTGAGGGTCAGAATCTTAGCTGATAGGTGTTCAAATGCCCATTTGCAGCTGTATCATACAAATAAATGTGATTTCAGATGCTATCCAGCTGTACCAACTTCCTGACTCTTAATTCAGATTTTTTGGGAGTTCTGGAAGTTTATGACTTTGAAGTAAATGTCTACTCCCAAGAAAAATTGAAATCATCATTTCAAAGGCTGCTTCCTTTTTAACTCTGGACACTAAATTAAGCTCATGAGGCCATCCAATCTGCAACCTACTGGTTGCCATGCAGTGTTCACCTTAGATTAAAAATACATTTTAATTATGTTTTTGTAGGTCTTAACATATTTTTTCTAATTTTGACATGCAGCTGCTTTAAATTCAAAACAAAGGAAACTGCACTGAGAATGAAAACGTTTTACTTTATACAAAATTAACTGATGTCCCTTGAACAAGTGTATACAGTATGCATATTGAACAGTGATGAATCATTAATTCTTTATTTTTGCTGTGTCCCATTTACAGAAGTACAATGGCATGGTTTGAAAAAAGGGGATAAAACTTTTGCCCTTTTGAAACTTGAGTAGGTAACCGAATAAAACACATTTGCACGACAGCAGGAAAAATTTCCGCTTCTGCAAACATTGTTCCCTTGATTAAAGCCTTTGAACCAAAACATAATGCAAATGCATGAGATCCACATTCAGAGCTGCTAGCGTGGATTGCTGGATTTTTTTTTTTTTTAACATTTTCCAAACAGTTTGATTTTAGGAATCACCATGATAAACAAGCAAGTGAGACAAATGGAGAGCTTTACTCTGGCGAATAAAACTGCCACGTTACATCACACAATGATCGACATAGTTATGTTCCTTAACAAGTGATAGCAAACCAACAAAAAACAAAAAAAACAAAAAAAAGATGAACAAAAATAAGAAATGTAATAAATTATTACATTAAGGCACCTGAAATAAAGGGATTTTTGATGGATTTAGAAATGGTTTGAAAACTTTAAGGCTACAACGTTGGCATGTTCTGAATGCTTCTGTTATTAAAAAGTTAAAACAAAAACAAGAATGGGATCAACTGTGTTGTGTGAAAACAGTTTTTTAATCTAAAGCATTTCCTTTGTCTTTTTTTTTTTATTGAAATCCTGAAAACTACAGGCGCAGTGGCGAAAAAAGAATGAGATCTCGGTGACAAACCATTTATAAACCCGTCAGAAATCCTTCATAGGTGGTACCTCTTTTTAAAGGTTCTCAACTGAGGGACTTTGGATATGAAATGTTATAAAACCTGCTTATATCAACTGAAATAAATAAAAGAAATGACATTGTAAAAAAAATAAAAATAATATTAATAACAATAATAATAATAATAAAAATGTGTGACAAATATACACAGCGACTCCTTTAAGTATTTACATGTATGTACAGCGTAGTCATTTCTGCTTTGATCAAATACCTTGAATGGCATTGCTGTGAAATTGAACTCTAATGTATAAGAATCCCTTCCAGGTCAGAGAACAAGGAGGTCAAACTGGGCAGCATGACTCGGAGCCACTACAGCTCTTAGAAAAGGCACTTGCTACCAACTCAAATACTGCAAAACTTTAAATATACAGCTTTTCAGCTGAGACAACCGAGACACAGGAGAAAAGAAATGAAAAAATAAAGTAAAATATGGAAGGCCACGTAGTAGGCACTGGGGTTTCTGTCCCCTCTCCCCCCTCCAGGCCAATGTTTTGGTAAGGCATGACAGCCACAGGTGGATTGCTGGGCAAAGCTGGAAGGTGACGGCGAAAACAGCCCATTTTCATCCAAATCCTTAGAGTGCACTGACATTTTGACAAAATCATAATAGCCTGTAAACAAATTTTTTTACAGATTTTTTTTTCCAACTCTATTTCAAATGTTACTTAAATAGCAGAACTCATAACTGAAAAAAGGGGAGCTTCTTTTGCCTCCTGAAAAAAAAAAATATATTACATTTTCAGCGCCTTCTTCTGTATGCAACGAAAAGCAACACATAAAAAGCAAAACTAAGATGTTCACTGTGCTCAAACCTCCTGAATGAGGGAAAACAAATTAAAGTAGAAATCATCTCCGGCGACAGTGACAAAAACATATAAACCAAAGTAAAGAGTGGCTTCCTAAACTCAAAGCCTTTCTTTTCTTTTCAAAAGAAGTCCCAAACATAATAGAATAGTAGCTGCCTTGCAGCCTCTCTTGCTTCTGCATTGTCCTTTCTTTTCATTTTCTTACACACAATGGTCTTTGAGCTCTTTCTGACCAGTCAAGGCGGCGCTGACATTTTTCCAGCGGTTGTCTTTAGGGCTGTAGCCTTGGGTCCGGTGTGGCGCTTTAAGAGGCGAACTGGAGCTATGCAAGGTACAGATCACCCCCCCACTGGACTGCACTGCAGTTTTAGAGTACTTATAAACAAGCTCCTTTCCTGCCTCTGCTCCACCGCACTCCTCTTCGAGCTCAAGCTCTCCCTCCGTCTCAGTCTCCTCCTCGTCACACGTCCGACAGGACGAGCCCATGAGCTTTTTGCGCTCCTGCTCGGCCTCCCTGTTGTTCTCCTTCAGCTGCTGCTGCTGCTGACGTCCCACGACGAGACGCAGCGGTTCCCACTGGTTGTTCACGTTACCGTCGGGAGCTGACTGCGAGGTCCTCTCGCGCTCTTTTCTCCGTTTCCGTGTCCACCACGCACATACGATGATGCAAAAGAGGCAGAGTAAACAGAAGAGGCAACACAAAAGAGGCACCAGGTAATCTGTGGTGGATGGGAGGAAAAACAAGAATTAAAAAAACTAAAAAGAACCTCTGATAAACACTTGGGACACCATTCATCGGTACTCACCCACTGAAGGGGGTTGAATCTGTGTTTCCACTTTGACCTCTATGACTGCCAGCATTACAGTGCTGTTATGCCTCTTGGATAAGGTGCCCACAATGGCACTGGCAGCTTCCTGGACCAGACTGTGGTCTGGTAGATTCTCAGGCTGAAAAGACTGCAACAAAACAGAATGAACAAAGTCAGGAACAAGGAGGATTCATGTGCAGGGCATCATGACGCAAAAACAAACTCCTACATTCATCCTACAATAAACACAGGCCAAATATTCTAAGTGTTGAAGGCAGAGTCATCCCCAGTAAGCTATTTGATCTTAATAAAAAAAATAATAACTGCTAAATGTCTGAGACAAAAATAGCTTTAAATGAACTGTAGTTTTAAGTTTTAATTAAAGAGGTTAATGTTTTCATAAAGAGGTGGAAACCAACAATTACTGCACTGCAAAAACGATCTAGAAATAAGTAAAAATTTCCTAAATTAAGTGTATTCACCCTTAATTTGAGAAGGTAAATGAGATATTTTGCCAATGGAATGAGTAATTTTACTCTTAAAATAAGATAATTAGATAATATGCACTCGAAATAAGACAATGCAATTGTGTTTTCTTATTTTAAGCGTAAATTGTCTTGTTTCATTGGCAGAATGTCTCTTTTACCTCCTCAATTCAAGAACAAATGCACTTATTTTAAGAAAAAACTGACTAGTCTAGATTTTGATTTTTTTTGCAGTGTGCAACTCGTCTCAGCTAATTTAATCTCTGTTGCAACAGAACAATTTTAACATGAAATCTTAAAAATCCCAACGTTATTTTTTCTTTCTTTTTCTTTTTCTTTTAGATACTCTTATAATCCCAGAGGGAAATTGCTTCTCTGCATTTAACCCATCCCCTTGGTGAGCAGTGAGCTGCCATTGTGAGGCGCCCGGGGAGCAGTGCAGGGGTTAAGGGTCTTGCTCAGGGACCCAGAGTGGCAGTCTGTGGAAGTGGGGGATCGAACTCACAACCTCAGGATTCAAAGCCCTATGCCCTAACCACAAGGCCTCCACTCTCCCAATTATTGCTCAGAGGAGAGAGAAAAAATGTACCTTTCAAATAATGAAATAAGTTCTTGAAGAACTGATAAATGGTTCTGTTTTCAGATAAATGCAATTTTCCTTGGATATCGTGGCGATACTAAAGAGCTCCTAAATGGTTTCTCTCTCTATGCAGGCAGAGGATCATACTGATGCTGGACCTACATACAAATCATCTAATGGCCACACTGATTAAACAAGACAGCAGTGGGAAATTCCAATAAATGTAAGTATTTTGTGGGATTATAATGAGGACTTTTATTTTCCCAGAACAATCCAGATTTTTTTTTTAACCATACATGCTGGTTTTGGCAATTCAAAAAGCTTGTCTTAGTAAATTTAGCAGCTATTCTATAAAGTCTCACCAATCCAAAGATTGACCCAAAATGGAGTCCAACTGTTCAACAGATTTAATTCAATAAGTAACATTACATTTTCTTTAAAAATGTACATAAAATTGACATTTCTTTGAAACAAAAATGACAAACCTACAACATCCTTGGATAAAACTTTTATGCAGAATATTTAATATTTGTTCTGGTTGAGTAATTCACTTACAATAGCCACCTCGACAGCATCCGGATTTGAATGGGAAAGATCGCACAAAAGGAGGAGGGAGTGGTCTTTAGCTAGGCTTCTGGTATCGGGAAGATACCTCAGTTCAAAGCAAATGTTCTCCACTGTGATCCCCTGCATATACACAAGCAAACACATGCATTGACTTCCCGGTAACCCAACAAATTTCAGGAGAACTGGGAATCACAGGCCGCTACAAGAAAAGTGATACGTGAGCGATGACTCACCGGTGGTACTTTGTCTCTGTTGAACACAAGAGTTATGCGGCCACAGCTGTTGTCCAAATGGCCGCTGTTTGGCTGGCACTTGGTGGTTGCTTGGGGAGGCGGGGGTCCAGCCATTGAACAAACCCCCCACTGATCGCAAGGGTGGGAGAAGCAGGTGTAGAAGCTGTGCTGCAGACACTCCTGTCCAGCTGGGCAGGACCTCTGCCCCTTTTCCTGGTCTGATGGCGCGAGGTGGCAGGGCCGGCGACCACACAGCACCTGGGGTCATAGGGTCAAAATTAAGAACTGTTCTTGTTGAGCTGCTTGCTTTCTTGACTATGCATAAGTTGGCCTGAAGAAAACCCATCTGGAAAAAGCTATCAGCAGAGTGTGTGACGGCCTGCTTACCTTTGTGCAGTGCACTTTGCCATTAATGCAGTGACAGTCGTTGCACTCCTCTTCCCAGTGGCTGCCATGAGGAAACTGCAGCCCAGCATAGTGGCAAGTCTTTCCAATGCCTATGACTACAAATAAACCGAATTGGTCAATTGTCATTTAGTAATCGGTTTTATTGTTTTGTTGTTTTTTTTCATTATTAATCAACACTAATATCAAGAATAAAGATGATTACATTCTTGGCATCTGGCTCCTGATCTTCCACGAGGACAAATGCATCGGAAGCCATTGATCTCATCCACACAGGTTGCTCCATAGGCACAGGGAGAAGACTGGCACTCGTCTATGTCTATGTGAAGAAAGAGTAGCAGAAAAAAACATTTTAAAGTGATACACTGCAAAAAATGTAAATCTAAATAAGTAATTTTGTCCAAAAATAAGTAATTTTTTTCTTGAACTAAGGTGGTAACAGAGTTTGCCAATAGAACGAGACAATTTACATTTAAAATAAGAAAAAAACATGACATTGTCTTATTTCAAGTACATGTTATCTAGTTTTCTTATTTTCAGAATAAAAATACTCATTCCATTGGCAAATATTGTTATTTACCTACTCAAATTAAGGGTAAATACACTAAATTTAAGACATTATTACTTATTTCTGGATCTTTTTTGCACTGTATTTAGGTAAGAAGCATTTTTTTAGAACTGCAAGGCTCTTGATTTATAGAACCATCTGAACTCTAGCTTTTACCTACGCTGATGAAATATGGATTATAGCCGTCGACAAGATCCAGAATCTAATCAGTTTGTCAATCTGTGATGCGACTGATAGATGCCTTAGGAGTTGCTTTGGACTGGGATGTTTTCCTCCTGGACCTGTTGTCCTTGTGACCCGATGTGGGATAAGCTGCTGAATCCAATCAGATTGTGTCAATCACTGTTTGGTAGATTAATGCGTAAAATATTAGAAAGATTCTAACTTCTGGGTGCCTTGAAATCTGTTGGATCCTTTAGTGTCTGTTATCCATATTATCATGATCTCAATATGGATGAGAGATCTCATATTCAAGCTTAGACAACAAAGGTGAAGACTATCCGTTCCGAACAAAGGAAGAGAAAGAGAGTTTCAGGGTCACTGGGTGATTTGTCCTCTGTGTGTGAAAGTTTGACCGTGTGAGTATGGAGGAGGGATGACCTCTGACCCCTAAGGTGTCAAAGAACGCAGAAAGAGGCTAGAGAGCTTGCTTTTAGCTGTCAATGTGTCAGTTTAAATTTGGCCTTTACCTTTCCACAATCCGCCTCCTTTAATCCATCTTAATACTCAGTGGTACTTTTCTTAAATGAATCCAAGGTCTCATATTTTACTCACTTATTCTGCAGTCTGGCCCAGCAAACCCAGGGGCGCACTCACAGCGAAACCAGTTTATTCCATCTACACAGATCCCGCCGTTGTAACTGTGAGAGGAAAGAAACGCATGATTAGATTAAGCTGGACATCCTTTCCAGCTGTGGCAGAGTACAGGGAGTGTGTATGTGTATGTGTGTGTGTGTAGGTTGTGCGGGTCAAAAAAACTCAATTCAGCTCATCAATACAAGCCTCCACCTTTCAGATGCTAATAGGCGTGTCCAGTCCCTCCCCTCATCGTGCCTTCCTTGCAACCACCTCAAAGCTGAGCTCCCCCCAGGTCGCACAGGAAGAATAGACCCCTACAACTCATCTTTGCCACTCAACCCCCAACCTTAACCCCGACACCCCCCACCTGCATTCACCACAGGGTTGGTGGGACTCTTATCCAATCCTTAAAAAAAAAAAAAAAAAAAAAAACTCCCACCTCTCACTGTCCTATTCATTATATCAGAGCACACCTCCCCTCTCCTCTTTGAGGCTCAATTTAAAGGCAGGTTCTGTTGGTCATTAAAGGCCCACCACCCCTGCAGCCAACCTCGCCTGTGAAGTGTTCAAACGATGAAGGGAGGCAGGAAGAAGTGAATAGAGGAGTGTAAGCGTACAACAATCGTTATTACATACCATGGATGAGGATTACAGTCGTCTATGTCTGTTGAAGAGAGAAAAAAAACAAAAAAACAAGTCATTTCCTGCATTCAATTTAAAGGATTTCTAATAAACCCACCCAGGGTGGAATTGGGCTAATTAAAACTGACAATGCATATTTCCGCACACAGGATTAAGTACAACAAATCTTTTTGAAGCATCCGATTTCAATGAGTTGCAAACTGTGCGAAATTCTGGTCCAAACTTGAAGACATGAATAGTTAATCCTGTTTTGGCCACAAGTAAATCTATGACCTTTAAAGTCTTGAACAGATGTACGTCTTACAAGAGAAATTAGTTTGTGTGATTAGCAAGCTGTGAGTCATAAACACAAAGTCTTTTCACATTGGATGAAACATTCCCAGTACTAGCAGGTGGCTTTAAGAGCGACTCTCTTCAGTGCGGAAGTATTTACTGAGTAATGACTGAAAGTTTGCCATTTTCAGTGTCCCTGAGGCGTCTAAATGAACAAAGGCTGTAAGAACAGAACATAAGGTGTCAGAGACAATTTGGAAACTAAATAGAAAGCTTAAAGTGTTCCAGTGAAGTTGTCCACCTAGAGCATTCTAGATTATTACATTTAGCTAATCTGACGGGATAAGCAAAGGGTCTAATCATCCGTATTAATCTAATCTTTTTAAGTTTGTTTTGGATATATCCAATTCTGTTTGTGTGAGAGCTGCGTCACAAAGACTGCTCAGCTTCTTAAACTCACATTATGTCACCTCTTGTTTTTTTCTTAAATAATTATTGATCAAATGCAAAAACAAAGTTCTTTAAGCTTCCAAGAAGTTGAAATCGCTAGACAGTTAAATAGTCAAACTCTTTAAAAAGATTTTTCTTAAATATCAACTTTGATAAAGGTTCATTTTTCAGAAAGGTCTTGCAGAAATAACTGAGATCCTTGCGTTTTGGGCCCTTCGACATTTTTAGTCGAGAAAAGGTTTTAGACCAACAAAGTGTCTTATAAAACAGAAAAATAATACTTAAAAATGAAAAAACTACAGTGCGTCTTCTTCTCATTGCATTAAAATCTAAGCAAAGATACTAACTTTGTCCACAGGTGGGGCCCTCCCAGCCCTCTTTGCAGATACAGGAGAACGTGTCTCCTCCTCCCACGCACGTTCCACCGTTAGAACAAGGACTGGAGGCACAAGTGCTGTTTTTGGCTGCAGAAAGTGGGAGGAGGGGGAAAAAAAATTACAGAGGTGCACACAAGCATCAACACATAAGATTTCACTGGAAATCAGAGGTAACAATCTTTAAGAGCTGGCAAGAAAAAGTACAGAACATACTCCGATAATTACAGGCAACCACTGAAAATCAGGAAAATAGTGGAATGAGTAATGCGTTTGAATCATAATCGGAATTTCCCTGCCATTAACTTTGACATAAATTTCAGCAGCTTTTGTCTCCCTAAAACACATAAATTTTGCATTCTTTAAAGTAGCTGCAGAGAAAGAAAAAATGTATACAGCACCACGAGCATCGACCGCTGGGGAAATGCCTCACCTGTGTTGCATGTGTTTCCCTCCCAGCCAGGCGGGCAGGAACAGCGGAAGGCGTCTCCGTGGTCGTAGCAGGTGCCTCCATTACTGCAGGTGGTTTCATCACACTGACTCTCACCTGATTAGAAAACCCAAAAACTATCCATTAACCTTCCACAAATCACAACGTGAACACCTTCCCGTTCCACTGTAGGTTACATTATCAGCTGGGCTACAGCATATCGATTAACGGCAAGATGCCAAACTTTTTAGGCCTTAAAGACTTCAAATAAAGCAAAAGGTTAACAATCAATGGAACACATTTCTTTACTACTACTATGTAAATTTGGTAGATGCAAATACTGAAAGATGTAAGGAAGGAAACATTTGGTGGCCAAATGAATGAATCAGTGATGTTTGAACAGACAGACAAATGGCCGTTTAATGGACAGATGAAAGAATGGATGAATGAATAGACTGATATAGAGCTACTGATCTATGATCCAATTGTTGGTGGACAGACACGTTGTATGTTTCGACAAATTTACAGACTGATAAAGAGACATCTGGAAGTATCAGTAAATAATGGACAAATGGACATTAGATAGAGGGAAGAATGAACTGACGGTTGGATGAATGCGTGGTGAAAAGAAGTGATTGTTTTACAGAGACTGATAAAGGGACAGACAGATGGATGGGTGTTACGTATATTGCAAATTTTTTTTTTGCAGGACAAAAAGGATATTAAATAGAAATAAATGAAAACATTTCCTTTCCTTTTTTTGTATATTTTTTTAACAGAATTTGTAGACACCTAACTTATTGTGGGACTCCTGAGTTGAACAATCAGCTCATAGGCTTGAATTCAGGTCCAAGCCCTAAAAGCTTCCTGTTAGATAATGAATTGAGACCGAAGAGCCTGGGCCGACCCTGTGGCATCCCGTTAAAATGTGGCTAAAGGTTTCTGCTCGTGACGGGACCTTCCACAGAGCCCAGACCAATTCCTTGCTCCAACAGAGTAAATCTGGTATTTATTTTGGTAGTATTTAACCTATAGTTCAATATCCTGGTAACCACCATATTGCATCAATACATTTTTTTAACACATCAGATTTAAACCAGTGTGCATTCTTAAATTCCTTATAGAAAACAGCTGAATTCTTTGTCCATTACAAATATAAGCGGATTGACATAAACCCCTATTTCAACAAGAGGGAATATCTTACGGGAATGACAGGTCTTGCCCTTCCAATCGCCGCTGCATTCGCAGTAGAAGTCATTGACCAAGTCAATGCAGCGTCCGCCATTTTTACAAGGGTTGTGTCTGCACTCGTCAACATCTGAGGAAGGAGAAAGATGACTCATTCTTCCATTCAATAACACCCTAATTCTAACCCATACAAAGAGATTAGGTGCAGAGCAGCTAGGTGCTCCACCCAAGGTGCGATTTTCTCTTGTATGAAAACTGCTGAGATTTTCCAAACAGAAAACAAACTCACTAAGGTCACAGAGCTGACCCTCCCAGCCGTCCGGGCAGAAGCACTGAAAGGAGTTTAATCCATCTATGCAGGTGCCACCATTATTACAAGGGTTGCTGATGCAGTCGTTGATATCTGAAATAAAAAGATTTATTCGTATCAGTTTGGTAATGATGGGAGAAAATATTCTTTAAAAGTTTATAGTTTTGTTTGATTCTAATTCAGTTAACCAAGACATTTCGAAAGCATAACCAGGCTGTGCATACTTTCATGACAGTAGTCGCCACTAAAACCCGGATCACAGATGCAGGTGAAGTTGCCGGTGGGCTGGCTAATGCAGCGTCCACGCGGGCCGCAGACGTTAGAAGAAACATGCTGTACTCCTTCTGAGTCGTTGGAGGGTACTGCTACAATGCAGCTGTCTATTACTGTAAAGGAGAAAGCAAAACACTGATTAGATTTTTTTTATTTAACTTGGTAAGTTTTTCAGGATTATTTCATGGTGGCGTGGTTCTCAGGTCACCTTGACATGTTGCAGTTTGGCATGTCTCCTTCAGATGTTCGCATGTTTTTCCCTGGTAGCCTTCAGGACAGGCGCAGTAGAAGTCCTGGTCCATGCTGTGGCATGTGGCCCCATTCTCACAGGGCTTTGAATCACAGGCATCAGAGAGGGGCCGGTGAGAGATCTATAGAAAAGAACCATATGTTCTGTTACATCATAGAGATAACCCCTCCCCCCAAAAAACATCCCTAAATCTTAAAAAGGTTACAGTAACATGACAAATGACATCCAGAAATATTTAGACCAAGCTTTTACTGACTGTGTACAAATAATACAGATTAATATTTGACAGGACTCAATAAATAGAAACCACAAAAAAGTATTTCTGTGTTTAAATCTTAAAAAACACCATCGGTTTTTCCTAAACTAAACTTGAATGCTAGAAAAAAATAATTTCCAGCAATTCTTACAAACATAGTTCGACTCATCCAAAATCCTAGGAGAGAAAAAGGTGAGAGTAAAGGCAAAATTTATTAAAATAAAATTACAGGTTGACTTTCATTTTAAAATGTTGTTCACACAAAACTAAAGCAGTAAAATTGAATGTCTCATCACCTCAAAGTGCTCAAGACAGAAGATAGAGGACAGGAAAATTGATTCATGACAGTCGGCAAAGTTTGTGACAAAAATCGATGCAAAATTGACGATACAAAAGAAACTTTATGCTGAGTAGACTGTAAAGAAATAGCTTCAGTGTGTCAAGTCCTCTGACTTGAAAAAGCACTACATAAGTACAGGCCATTTACCATTCTGCATAATTAAAACAATCTGTTGCATAAGATTAAACTCATTGGACGTATTCTAACAAACCCTGGGTCAAAAATCAAACCTTCATAAAAAAAAAAAAAAGAGGTATTCATATTCTCACTTGCATCTGGATAAGTTCATTGAAGGAGTTAAGGGTGTGGCTTTAGGAAGCCTTTATAAGCTATACGGTTACTGACTTTATATATACCAAAACCAGTTTTAAAGCATTTCTACTGGTGAAACCCCAAACTCTGGCGTTAAACCCCAAAGTTTGAAAATCTAGAAAGTAGTACCACTGTCTACTAAACAGACCCCAACCATGATGCTGCCAACACCGTGCTTGACAGATGGTACAATGTTCTTAGGTATACGAGCCTCATATAGGCCTATTCCTATTTCTTTTAACAGCTATAGGACACTGGCTTTATAATTTCAGCCCTTTAGGTTACTTTAATACTCCCAAAGAGGGTTTGCCTTCACACAGAAGGGAGATTTGCAGCTAGCGTTAAGAGCTTTTCCACACAACTGGATGGAGTCTGGACAAGCAAACTTTCAAGATTAAAACAATGAAATCCTGGAAAAATCTACCTGCTTGTGGTTGGAAAATCTAAATAAAAACAGCAAATGTGGTTAAAAATTTTTGATTTTTAGCTAGATCTTTCAGCCCTGTTCAACAGAGATGGGAAGTAACGAAGTACAAATACTTCATTACTGTACTCAAGTACCGGTAGATTTTTCAGATATTTTTACTTCTTATTTTTATGGCGACTTTTTACTTCTACTCCTTACATTTTTACACAAATATCTGTACTTTCTACTCCTTACATTTTAAAAAAATGGCTCGTTACTTTAGTTTTGAATCATTTCAATGGAGTTACCGTTATTATTTTTCACGTCATCAATACCAAATTCAATCTAATTGGATGGGAATCTACGTTGCATTTGACGCACCACTACAAGATGAATCGACAGATTCGGCGGTATTCATTCGCGGCAAATCATTGCAGCTTGGTGGCGGTGGCGTTAGCATACTAGTATGGACGACGAGATGAGTGAAAATGAACACAACAGAGATCTAGTCCTATTGGCAGACATCCATTTAAAATGTAGGCAATGGCAAGAAAAAAGTGGTTTCTACTTTTACTTTTATACTTTAAGTAAATTTACAAGCCTGTACTTTACTTTTACTTGAGTAAAGAAGTTTAATCAGTACTTCCACTTTTACCAGAGTATTTTTAACACAAGTATCTGTACTTTTACTCTACGGAAAGTGAGTACTTTTGCCATCTCTGCTGTTCAAACCCAACATATCGCCTTTCTTCCAAGGGTCACAGTTTGAGTCAGATGCATGAATCCCAGACATTATTTTATGTTAAAACAAGAAGATGATTTTAAAAACATTTCAAAATAAATGAAGCAAACATTGTGGTCTCAATCCAGCACTGTTGTGCTGCACAAAGTAAAGGTAAGCAAAAAATTAGGCCTTAGGAAACATTCAAAAAGCTCATCAAGAGAATCCATGCATGTGGTTCTCTAACCTTACAAGACTGTTTTAGGTAAAAAAAAAAAATCTTTCTTAGAGAGAAGAATCTTCTCTCAGAGAGAGACAGGGAGAAAAGAGTAGGCAAAGAGAACGATTATTTCCAGAGAAAGCTGGAAAAAAACTGTGGTCCATCCACAGAGCGACGGTGAATAATAATAGAGATAAATCATAGCAGCTAGAGGCCAACTGACTTATTATTTAAAATGGGGAGTTTAGAGAGAAAAATCTCTTCGCTTATATAAACAGAAGCCTACTGTGCATAAACTTTGGGTCGGACCTTACTGCCATTTAAGGTGGTAAAAGAGAGGTTAGTAGGGCCACAGGGTGGTCGGATTTGTGGTCATATGGTTTATTTTACAGAGACTGTCAAATGTAATTATGTCCTGCCTGCCAAGTTTGTAGTGTGTTGTCAGATCATGTCCGAGTGTGCGGATAAATCATAACTGGACCACTAGACTGTTTAAGAAAAAAAATATTTTGTTTAAGGTGGTACTTATATGTTAGATTTAATTTAAAAAAAATGGCTTGATATTACACTGAACTAAGTCATTAGATCAAATAAATCTGCGGGCCTCTGCCGTTTCATGACTTCAATCAGTCCAGTAGGTTTTTCCAGTTAGTTTCAAGGAGAGTTTTTTTTTCCGATTTGGAGACATTTCTAAATGTTATTCAAACACACATTAATAAAATGAAACTAAAACACAGTAAGATTATTCAGGGCTTAAGAATGTCTTTGCTTCTTCTACCTGGATCAACGCATGGCTTGGGCAAAAACTGTTACACAATCAAATTTCTAATGACCTGACATGAGATACTAATCAGAGAAATATGATGCTGCGGGGCATCGTAGTTTTGGCAAGACAGGACAGGAATGTACATCATGCCATAGCAAGCATTGCAGTTCTGGAGGCGCGGGCAGAACTCCAGCATCTCCTCATTGAGGGAGGCTCACATTTATAGTAGAGATGCTAAATCCAGATTGGCTAAACACCAGCAATGTCCTCCATTCAGGGTCCCAGAGATGTACCAAAGTGTCAGCTTTCTTGGTGATAACCTACATTTAGACACAGTTTGTGTATAAAAAGGAGTCATAAGGGACCAGCCGAGGTTGTATGAAAAGAGTCAAGTAGGAAAAAAGCAGGCTTGGCTTGCAATGTTGGGGATGGATTACACTACACAACCAGTAAAAATCACAGCAGCCATTTGGCATGTTGGGTCAGATGACTGTTTAATGCTGAAACAGTTTGTAGTTTTTTCTCCACTGTATGACAAACTCTTAAAAGACGACGTGAAATCAGCTGCAGTTCCATAAATGAACAATGCTAAAATAAAAAAAATAAAAAAATAAAAAGTCTTCCATGTGGCATTAACTTTCACTTTCTACTTCAGACTATTAAAACTGGTTTACTGTGCAGATTTTAAATCAATGACCTCCTGGTTTTGTTGGCTTTTATCTTTTGTTCCTGAACAAAAGAAAAAACCATGCATAAAATGAATATACACTCTGCTGAGCACTATTTAAGGAACCCACTATCTTTTTATAATTCAAAAGATTAAGATCAGAATAAGGAAAATCTAATAAAACTAGTCTGTCACGTGGCAACAGAGGCCCAACCATGCACACAAACACACTCACAACTAAGGACAATATAGAGAAGCCAATTAAACCAACACTCATGTTTTTGGACTGTGAAAGGAAGCTGGAGTACCCGGAGAGAACCCCTTCATGTACAGGGATAACATGCAAACTCTATGCAGAAAGACCCTGGGGCAGCAATTGAACCCAGAACAAAAATACAAAACATTGAATATGCTCCCATTTCTTTCTCTAAAACTGGAATAAAGTTTTATAAATGTTAAAACATGTTTAACACCTATATGGTATATATAATATTCTATAATTATACAGGTTAATTTTTACCTGTCCTACAGTGAAGTTGAACTGCAACAGAAACTAAGACAGATGACAATGTCGGCGGCCTAATAAGGTTTTCTTCCACTGCCAACGAATCATCAGTCATCATTTACCATGAAGTATCCGATATGCTGCTACAAAAACTGCTAGCTAGTCCAAAAGACATTGAGAGTCTTAAGCTTAATCAACAACTCAGCTCAGAAACATCTTCCATTATTATTTCAAAATAAGAGTCCAATCAATGTATGCAATTTGATATTCAGGATTTTTGATGGTAGAATAAAGTTTCATCTCAGTTGATCTCACAAAATAAACCAAATGTTTGTTCCCAGATTAAGAATAATTATTTGTAAATTTTTAATATGGTTTGTGAAACTTAAAATTATACTTTAGATGAATAAAACTTTCTTCAAGGGTTTCAAAGTGGTTCTAGTAAACAGTTTAAATCTTATCCCGTTTTTTGCATTTTTTACCCCATTTTGTTGTAATTATGCCTGGACTTATCATAATGCCTTGTTAAAATCAGACCTGCAGAGAGGGAAGGAAAATGCTTTAAATGGTGCAGACCTGTTCTCGAAAAAGCCGCCATTAGCCACAGAAAAAGGGAACAACCAGAAACTCAATGTCAGAGAGTCTTGCAACACAGCGGTAAGATACTATTTGCATAGAAACGAATGAAAGCTTGTTGCATGGGTCTCACCTCACACAGTTGGCCACCAAACTCCGGTGGGCATTCGCAAACAAAGCCGTCCAACACCACGTGGCACTGGCCGCCGTTCTGGCATGGTCTACTGTCACATTTATTTCTCTGGAGTTCACAGTGATTGCCAACAAAACCAGGAGGACACTGGCAGAGGTAACCCCTTGGACCCTTCTAAAAAACCCAAGAAGTTCAAAGGTATAAAATATCTCTGCAAAGTTTTTTAATTTCTGATTTAAAAAAATATATATATATATATCCATACCTTACAGGTTCCTCCATTCTGGCACCGACCTTGGCAGAGGTGCACGTCTAAAACGAAGGCAGATAAATAAGTTTAGAGCAGTTTCAAAACAAAATGATTAATCTCTGCTGTATTTGGTGAAATTTTAAGTGCAGTGTGCAGATTAAGTTGAAGATTTGGGAATAGGAACATATAAAGTCAAGGCAGTGCTGTATAAAACTGGATATAGTTAGGCAGCATGCATAACAGAGCAGAGAAATAAGTTTGCCAAAGCAGGAACAGGTTACCACATGTGTGAAAGTGAAGCTAAACTACACCCAGGTTGTCTCTTTAGGAGGGAAAAAAAGAGCCGAGGTACAGTAGGTGTCATTATTGGAAGAAAATCAAAGTCACTATAGAAGTGACACTGAGTTGAGGTAAAGAAATACTGACTGATGTCACAGTTTTGGCCCGACCATCCCCGGAAACACTTGCAATGATATCCACCAATGAGATTTTTGCAAGAGTAAGCGTTCACACAGGGCTGTCCTGCACATTCATTTGCATCTGTGAAGGCAGGAGGTAGATGAGTCCATGAGTCCAAGAAAAAGCAGAAACAACGACAGAAGAGCTGGATAAGAGTGTCCAAGGATTAAGAGAAAAAGGAAGATCCAGTATTTATTGGCTTCATTTGGAAATGATCTTAATTAGACCATTAATTGTGTGACTAGAATGCTTGGTGTGTATAATCAATAAAGGCTTAGTCAATTAAAGAGCAATCTGGATTTTTTAATTTATTTTACATTTTAAGCTGTGGAGTTACATGGCTGTCATAATTTAATGGAAGAGAATAACTTCCCTCTTTGCATTATTGAGCCGACTCTGCCAATACCTTCAGCACTAATGAGCTTGTCTTGTGCATCATAGGGTGGATATAATGTAAGCCATCAATCCAGCACTTGACAGTGAAATAAGGCTGTTTTTCTCCCAAACAAATTCATTTAGTTACTTGTGCAGCACTGCTGTCATCTGGGATGATTCCAACGACTCCAATCCAGCCCAGCAGTTTAACTTCAAATCACAGTTCTTGGATTATGGAGGTGGTCGATGTTATGGTACGACTAAGACTGTAATCCATTTACCTCTAAATGGATAACTTCCATCTGGAAATGGCATTAGGAATTATAAATGCGTATCCATCTTTAAATAAAAAAAAACATAAGTTTTATTGATCGATTTCTTTGAACTCCTATCTAGAAGTATAAAATAGAGGGAAGGGAATCTCTTTATTTCCCGAAAAGCTGCATAAAACAGTTTATGCAACACCAGAATAATACTACTGGCCTAAACGATTTATTTTTGGGTGAAGACTGCGATCTGTCTTCTTTATTTTATCATGAAATGATTTAAAGGTTTTTCAGATTTTCTATAAATATAAAAAGAAGGTTCCAAGTGCATTTCTTAGGTTGGGAAATATAACTGTAAATGTAAAAGTTGCTGCAAGGATTATACTGTATTAAATGCTTAACAATCAGAATTGAAAGCATTGTTTTAAAACCCGATGCACAGTGTCTACCTTATTTTCTCATTCATCTTTTACATTTGGAATTACTTCTAACAAAAAAGATGTGACGTCTTGGCAAGGATCTATACAAAGTCTTAATCTTGTTAATTAGAAGTAACCAAAATAATATTCTGCATGCAGAATATGTTCAGAATATTTCATCAAGTTGCCACTGCAACCTAAATGGGTGGAAAAAAATTGCTGCACAAAACATCAAGGAGTAGAGACTATGGGGGAGGCAATCAGCAGAAGGATGCCCTACAGCACACCTTCATGGCTATCCTCTCTGAAACCCAAACCTCTCACTCACACAACAAGCTCTAGGTAAGACAGGAGGCCTATACCTGCCTGTAAAGCGAGACTTAAGCATGTAAGGGGACACTTGGGATCTCTTTCCTGCCTGCACCCCCAGACACACATACAAGTGTTTACTGGTCGTAATACATTTCCTGAGTTGGAGCCAGTCACGTCCGATTTTAGGATTAGGATTGATGCAGGGACCAAAGTTAACCCTTTATAGGGCAGTCAGTGAAATCATTTGAAAATCATGTATAATCATAATAGTGTTATTGGAATCCTGGACAAGACCCTCAAAAAATATGGATATTTTGATGGCAAAAATGTATGTCAATGCAATAAGAAATGCCAACTTGCTCAAATATAATAAAAATAACAAAAGTGCTTCCATAAGAAATTCATGAAAAACAGTCAGAGTGAAAGAAACACTTTTTTTTGGTCCAAGATAACCTTAGAGGCATTAAAGTTGATACTGGCACTGATATTTTTTAGTTTATAAACTTAAATATTAAACTTTTTAATTTTAACTTTTCAATTAGCTTTTTTAAATTAGCTTAACTTTTTTTTTACAACTTAATTTACAGTAGGTAATATATCATTCAAGGGCTCATCTAATTGGTCAAATGCCAAAATAAGATGTACATCCATGTAGCAGGATCTTTACTGAATGGCTGGATATAGATCTTGTGTTTTTAGACGTCACTGAGGTACAAGGGGGTCTCCATTTGTAAGGGGTATGCAAGTGATCAAAAACGCTAACTTGCCCTATAAAGGGTTAAAAACTAGCTTATAAAGCTTGAAGTTCAACAACATCTTAGTCTAGGATATGAATTACTTGTATCCTGTGGATCAACAGACCTGTTTTCAATCTCTGGACGTGTCTAAACAAATATTCAAATATCTTTAAGTCTATGGAATGATTACAGTATTAAAAGCTAAAAGCTCTTTTTAATCACCTGCTCTACAGCCATGAGAGACCTCTTTGAGGATTGACTCAAAACCACTGTGCTTTCATGAACTCATCTACAGGCTGGTTGAGAACAATTTATTGATCAATTTAACTCAATAAGATTGCAAATAGATTTTATTGTCACAATTATCTGCATATGGCTATATCCAAGTATCATTTAACTATGAGCTCTTTGATTTGATTTCAGTTCCGTCTCCTTCCAAGATCAGTCTAGGATTATATTTAATTAATTTCTTATGGTGCCAATTATCAACAAGTGACATCTCAATGTATTGCAAAAGAAAAAAAAACTAAGCAGATTCAAATCCGTTCGAATTCAACCTTAATATAGAATAGAACTAATTAATAGAAATCCCATACTATAAGATTGAATGAAACATGGTCTGTACCATAACACTGGAAATGTAATTAAAAAAAAACTCCAATTCTGATTATAAGACAGTTTGATCAAATACTTTCTATGGGTTCTTTGCACAGCTTCTATTTGGGTAAATATATCCCTACTGTGCTATACTGACCATTTATACAAAGAGACAAAAAATATAATACCATAGAAAAATGTACACAGATATGAAAGAATTAAAAATCAAGGCAATTTATTAAAAGTTAAAGTGGAATCCTAATAATATAACGTCCACTCCATTTTGTAATAAAGCTGATGACTTTGCAGCTTTTATCAAGGAACCAAAAGGCTACAGTGGAGTTAAGATTCCCTTTTCACGCCTTAATTCATTTTTTTTTTTTTAGAATAACCATTTCATATTAACACAGAGTACATGTCAGATTAAATAATACTGCTTCAGCGATAGTATCTAAGTGTTACTTTATTGCATGTCTCGTACTATGTCTGTTGGCTGTGCTGTACTTTTTACATCTCTTTGCAGGTGATGAAGCAGACTGAAAATGTTTTATCATTAGCTCCCTTTTATCTCTTTTTTTTCCTGTTTTTCCCCTTCTATTCTACTTACATTGCAGTGTCCATATAATCTGTAAAACTCCCTGCATAATTATAATAAAGCAATTTATATGCATGAAATAAGCAGAGCACTATGGCAATAGCCGCACTGCTCCTCTTGTGAAAGTAAAATCTGTTGGGCTTTTTTTTTTGGCATCAAGATAATTATCCTTATTGCCACATTGCCAGACAGGACACTGTTAGCAAAAAAAAATGAATAACCATTAATTTTCTATTCTTATTGTAATATATTTTGACGTAGAATATAGTAAAGGACATTTAATACTTTCCAAACTGTAAAAAGCTTGTAGCTTAACTACATACCAACTGCCTTTTGGAGGTAAACATTATGTTAACCTCCTCATGTTGCACTTCCCTCCTGTTAGCTGTATTTTTAGGAAGTATGGGATTTTTTCCCCCATGATTATGCATATAACACACAGATCTTTGTCCCACTAAAGAAAACCAACTCAACCTCTCATCTGTCTCAGCTTTTTATGGAAGATTTTAAAGCCTGGATGTCCTAAATGAAGAAAAGACAGAGGTGGACATTTTTGGTCATTCCAGTGAAGACTCCCTAAATGATATTGGTCCTTAGGCCTAGTATGTCAGTCCTATTATTTCAACTTAGGGGTTAAAATAGATCCCAGTCTCAATTTTTGAAAACTCACATTAGAGCTGTTGTAAAATCCTTTTTTTTTTTGAGGCAGCTAGAAAAAGTTAATCCATGGCTTTGAAGCCACTTGGTTGAAATACTGTAATGCACATTTTCCATCTTCAGAGGGTAAATATGCTGCTGCATGTCTCTTAACAGTTACAAGTAAATATGATCATATTTCCCCTATTTAAGCCTCTTATCCTTGGCTGCCAGTATATTTTATTATTCATTTTAAAATCCTGTTATCCGCTTTTAAATATCTAAATGGCCTTGCCCTAACCCTAGCTGCTACACCCCTACACACCCTCTCGCCCCCTTAGATCAGCTGACCAGTTGTTACTGATGGAGCCAAAGACGAAACGCAAGCTCAGAGCGGACCGTGCGCTGTGGAACAACCTTCCCTTCTGCATTAGAACAGCCTCTTTACCTTATTTTAAATCTGAAATGTTGACTTTATCTTATTGAGCTTCTTTTATTATTTTATTACATTACTACTTTTATACATCACTTTGTTTATTGTTTAATGTTTGAGCATTTGTACCTTATGATTGTGCAGAGCAAGTTGGTCTTTTGGGTGCTTTATAATAAATTTGGTATGGTATTCAAAGTCAACTCACCTATCTGGCAGGTCTTCCCTTCCCATTGTGGGGGGCACACACATTCAAAGCCATCCTCCAGGTTGATACAGGTCCCACCATGAGCACATGGACTCGACGCACATTCATCCACACCTGCAGAATCCAAAAAACTGTTCATTTCTGACCAACAGACATTTTATATAAAACAATGAATTTAGGGAGTATAAATATGTTTTAACCGGACAAAAACAGCTAAAGTTAAAAGATACTAAACAGAAGACAAAAAAAATGTGAAAACTCACTTTTTTCACAGGTAGGGCCGTCCCAGCTTGGTGGGCACAGACACTGATAGCCTGTAGCAGCGTCATGGCACGTCCCGCCATTTGAACAGGGGTTGGAAGCACAGGAGTGCTCAGCTGATGACGAAATCATAAGATTATTAGAAGAAAAAAAAAGGTTTTAAAAAACCAAAAATTTATCATTTGATTCTTGTTGTGTGAATAGTTGTTTCAATAGTCCAGGGATGGACAACAGATATTCTAATTAGCATCAAATAACTAATGAGAACAATTAAGACATTAAAACCTAAAAAGGTATTTTAAAAACTCTTACCAATCTCGCAGTTCTTTCCGGAGAAGCCCTGCGGACATGCACAGAAGTAAAGGTCTGGTTCGGTGTTCAAGCAGGTTCCTCCGTTGACGCACGGCTGGTGGCGCCCGCAGTAATTCAGATCTGATCAGAAAAAAACAGCAGCAAGATTTAAGTAGGAATTAAAGTATTCAATCAATAATGAGCAGATCTCTGCTGTGTAGATGCTGAAACTGAGAAAAACAAACCAAACATTAAATGTAAGTGATTTCTAATATTGGGGGTTTAAAGAAGTCAAACACAGAGCAGAAATGCAAAAAGCTATTTAACTTGAAATGATTCTCAATGGCAGGTACAGACATGTCTGTGGTCCGTTCAGGGAGCCAAAAGTGAGAGAGCAACCGTTTTAAACAAAGCTGCTGTTTTCTCCAAATAAACATTACATATGGCCGCAAAACAATTATAATGCCATCCTATACTCTTTTTTTTTTTTTTCTATTACGGCACTTTAGGAGGAATCTAAGACAAAATCTATAGATGAAAAAAAAAACGAAATCAGATTTTCCTGTTGTGGCAACCTGGATTTATACTTGGATCCCCCATTAAGTGTTACTCTGCAACTCTTATTCGAGCAAACTCTTCCTAAAACCATGTTACAACACTACTGGAACTGCATCCCATCATTTCCTTAAAAAATCAATTCAATGTTAGAAAAGTTGAAATCTGCAGTCAGGATTTTATTTTTCAAAAGCTCTCTGCAGCCACCTCCATGTGCCATTTTTCCTGGGATTTCCCAGAAATCTCGTTGCAGCCTACGCTCAGAATCGAGCACCAGCTGCCTGCGTTGGCAGGATGCGTTTTTTCAGCCCCCCTGCTGTATTGCCTTGTGACTAATTTTCTGTATATGCAGGCTTATAGACAGGTGGTTGAGAATTAGAAGCGCAAACCAACCTGTTATTTGCACATGTGAAATAAAATGCACTGCTTGTGCTTTTTTTTTTTTTCCTGTACTAAATCTTAAATGATCCTTTCACACAAGGCTTGGGCAGAAAAACAAGTTTCTAAAAGCCTGGTAAATAAATGAGCAGGAATCTGTCTCCACTGGGGATCTTAGGACGCGTCTCATCCCCCAAAGAGCCCTCTGTGACGATGGCAGGTGGGGGGATCGGATGTCCCTGCTGCTGCTCAGATCACAGGAACAGTAAAACTATCCATCTTCTGGTTTCCAGACAGGGAGAGAAGCCAGAAAATAAGACGGAAACTTTATTTGAAAATGATAAATTACAGCTACGGATTAGCAGCTGAAACTGCATCAATTAAGTGCTCATTTTAGCTCATTATCACAAAGATATACATTTAAACTTCCCCTCGTGTAATAATACAGATATGAATATAAAAAAAAAATCTGCAATCTCTTCGTCTGCATTCCAGTCAGCTTTAAACTCAATGTATCTCGTTCCAAATGAAACACGGAAACTGCCAGTCGTCTCCCCTCTACTGAAAAGCTGATAACAAAAGAAATCAGGATGCTAGTAGGAACCTCTTTTGAGAGCAATGTCAGAGGTTAGTAAAGGGAATACAGATGGAAGGAAACTGCAGTTCCTAATTTGGTTCCCTGGCGCTCTGCTACGATGCCGCTCACCTTAATAACTGTTTGACGTTGCATCGGCAATAAACATATTCATTCAGAACCTGCAGATATAAACTTACAGCTCACTTTGAGTTGAAGTTAACTGTAGTCTTTTCCAAGACAAAAACATTAATAAATATTTTAAAACTGGTTATAAAGACAAAGTTTCTTGAGGAACTTAAACCGAAAGAATGGTTTAGTTTCTAAAAGATTCAATGGACCGCCATGTTTATCTGGCAACTCCAACATAAAGACCTGACTGGTGGGGGGCTTTAGCAGCGATTCCTCTATGGACAGCTCCCTCTGCATAAAATCATCATTGGGTTTGTTGAAAGCGATCTAACCAAGGACCTATTTTCCTGGAATCTTTTGATAGCTCAAAATTAAATCTATACTTGTGATCAATAATTTTTTTAATCCATTAACTGTAAAATCTGTCTCCCCCAATTTCTAAGCTTCTGCTTAGAAATTAGGGGAGACAGCTGGTTTGGATTTCAATCAATTATCAAACTAATTTAGAGTACATGTTGTTATTGATTGGGATATAAGCCATCAACTGTATCACACTACTGTTTATATTTTTGTTTACCATGAATAAGGTTATATTCCATAGTTTATAATGAAAAGAAAACAGATGAACATACCTCTTTCACACATCAGGCCACCCCAGTTCTTCTCACAGTTACACTGCCAGGGCTGGTTGCAGGTGCCGTGTTTGCATCCTGGGTGGAGCTCGCATTCATCGCAAAAGATGCCTTTCCAGCCATATTTACACCTGTAGGTGAAAAGACGCATTTAATGCAGCTTCCTTTTCAGTAACATTTTGCAATAATAGGTGCATAAACATGTATGTTTTTTCTTTTTCTTTTTTTTCTTTTTTACTGTACTTAAAGAGAAAAGAAACTTATAATAAAACTTTTTGGTCAGGGGTTGAGAAAAAAAACAACTTAAAGAAAAACATTAGCTATCACCCTATAAAGAGAATGAAAAGTCATTATCTGAAAAAAATGTGTTATTTTAGTTTACAAAAGCTTAATATTTTAGGTTGATTAAAGTTTTTGCAGGATCGAGCAGTGCTTTTCCATTTTTAGTAAATGCATCTGGATTATTAAGCATCGTTTTGATTTTTTGTGTGTAAATACTATACTAGAATGAATCATGGTACTTCTAATGAAGAATATCACCATGAGAACATGATAAAGAGTCTTGTCCAACATGTCCAATTATGTAAAAACGATTACAGTAATTGTTTTCTACCTTTATCCCTCACTTTCCAACATAAAATCAAACCAAATCTTCCCTGCTGTGGGATAAGTTAGATGATCTAAATTCAGTTATACTTTCTTAATGCCAGAATTAGATTAGATTAGATTCAACTTTATTGTCATTACACAGGTAAAGGTACAAGGCAACGAAATGCAGTTTAGGTCTAACCAGAAGTACAATAGCAGCAAGTGCAGGATAAATAATGGTTCCATAAATATAGGACATGGGTTTCATCGAATTAAATGATTTGTTTAGCATCTCATCCTTAAATAATGTTTTCCCAATTTCTAATAAGATGTAGCTATAAAGATAAAAGCCAGAAAAATCCCATATTTGACACGCTCTTACTTTAAAAAACAAAGTCATCCATTGTGCTCATTAAATCCTTTAAAAACAACGTTATAAATTTGCTTATAGTACCGAACCAATACATAATTTAGCTTTAAAAATGGGCAGTTTATTTGCAATCAATTCATTGGTAAACAAAGCTCCAATATAATTTAACTGCACATGGACTCATATCAGTCCCATGGCCTGCTGCCAAGCAAACCATGTGTATGTTGACATTCCAGGGCAGGAGAGGTTAAGTATACTTCCATGGGCTCCTGTGCACAAGCAGGAGTCTGCTGGGGAAGAAGAGTGGCGGCTATGAGGGCTGTGAACTTGTTCAGGGAGTGAGTGGCTGGAGACAACTGTGTATATACACAGAGTCTATGCGGTGCAGCCACAGTGTCGTACGCTGCTATTCCAAAGCCGTGGTGTCGTCGTGCCAGCTGTCTTGTCAATTGACGGCTATTTTGAGACCCCTGCAGACGGCACCGCTGCCTTTCTGAGAGATGAAGCCCTTGGAAATCTGTTACTCTAAAGCAATAGGACTGAGAAAATCATGAACTGCTCCTGGACATGAAAGCAAGAGAAAAACGGTAGAAAAGAAATTCCCCAAAACCCCTAAAGATTTATGGCCTTATGGGCTAAAAAAAAGTCCCTTAACAATTAATTTTGATACAAAATATGCTGCTAAATTAGATCTTTGTGTCAAAAAGTCCACAAGGTGAATTCTAAGATTCAAGTTTGATTTAAAGTCTGCAAAACCTTTTCAAAATGGTTCACTGCTCTGCAAATCCAAGGTGATTCTTAGGACAAGCCTCCTAAATGTGTCGGAACAGGCCCAATGCTGTAGAGTCAAAAGTCTGAATGGAGCACTGTAAAAACAGGCACGCATCGGCTTTTATGTTCCAGGTTTTAGGTGTGACGTACTAGAGGGAATAAAAAAAAAAAAAAAAAAAGTGGGTAAATGATTTAGTGCCAGCTTTTTGTGCCCTAAGGGATCATTAAATTTGTGCTCCTGCAGGACGATCCTTTACTGCCGCTCCCCTATTCATGTCGCTCTTCCTGTTGACGTTTTATATGAATAAGTTGTAGTTTGTGAACCGGAATGAGAAGACACGTAAAAATGTGAGGCAGCTTCCCAACAGCGGTTCATTACCCCCCTTCATTCCTTTGCTTTCCGCCTAACAGTTTTTTTTTTCCTTAATAAAAAGGGAGATAAGCGTGTCCTCACATCCGGCAGGTGGGGAGAGAGGGGCTTCCACAGATGACAACGTCCTGGAAACAAGTGACCAGCAGGGACGTCCCGCGTCACTTTATTTAACTGTCATTTCCACTTTGGGGGAATGTAAATAACACAGCGGGGTATTCATTTCCTCCGTTGCCCCTTGCCCTTCAAGGAGGACTGAAATGTGGACAGGGGAAACTGGGATCCGACAATTCCCGGCACTGTTTACAGCGTTGCACTTCACACAGGCAGAAGAGCGTTTTCTTTGCTCCAAGGTGCAGAAAGCTGATGAGGCGCTTGGTATTCTGAGGAGGATTTGGGGCTGCTAAAAATACAAGAAGGCAGGCGCGGCTTTGCCCTTGCCTCCTGAAGGGAACTGGGAGATGCCCACAAGGGAAGGAGAGGCCGACACGGAAAACGACAAGCCTCACCAAGTTGATGTTGCCTCAGCTTGGAATGCAAAACCTTCCCTTTTTCAGGCTCATCTACAAAATTGCTATGGTTTTAACAACTGCAGAACCCTCCCTTCAACATAAAAGGGTCTCATTTGAAAAGTAAAAGGTGACAGTAAATCAAATATAGAAAAACAGATAATAAGCAAATGACCATTTTCAAAGTGACCAATCAAATGACCAATCAAAGTTAGATCTGAAATTAAAAATGAGTTTTGTTTTATGAAAAATAAATAATTTCTTACGTGCATTCGCCTGGTGCAGAGCAGTTGGCATGTAACAGGTTGCAGCCTTGTCTGCATATTGCTGAAAAAAGAAAAAAAAGCAAGTTATCAAAAAGAGACCTGCAAAGCAGAGTTGGAAATGGATAATTTTAAACAAGTCGTAAGACGACAGGATGAGTGACACTGCAAAGAGGGACCAATTTACGACCAGCATGTAAAATTCTATCCAGCTTTTAAAAACATCTCCACCTTTTCAACACCAATGTTTTAAATCTGAATGATTTAGAGGAGACCCCCCCCCACCGTCCTCCCTGATGCCACCTTCAAAGATGGCTACACCCACTGTGGATTTTACAATTCCACCATAGAGATGCCACAAACATTCCATATCAAAACAGTTTTGTTTCAGGGACAGAAAAGGTCTTTCAAGAGAGGAGCAATTAAACAAAGCAGATATTTAATGGGTGCAGGTAAATCAGATTCTCTTTCAAAAGCTATTATCAGATGGTAAACAATGGTCTAACCTGTCCGACAGTCTGTGCCCATCCAGCCCTCCAAGCAAATCCGAGTCCCTGAAGGGTCGCAGCGATAGTGTCCGAAGTAATCGTCCCGAGGAACACACAGTTTGTTGCACTTGTTCCCGTAGTAGTTCTCATCGCAGCGCACCCTGATGCGGTAGACCAGGCGTGCCACTGGCCCGTCATAAAAGATCGTCTCCCAGGGATCGCCGGGGTTGATCATGCGGGTGTGAACCCCACGTTCAATCATCTGATTCTCATCATCTGAAACACAAAATAGGTTGTTTTGATTGAGAAAATGCATGAAGCCTCAGCGGCCATCAAGTTTAAAGGGAAACAAAAGTTGCTCAAATTCTGATTTTTTTTCACTCTTAACTGAACACCAGCATCAGAGGAGAAATTCTGCAAGAATTTTAAGATTTCCAGGAACTTTTAATATCAACTGGACAACCAGACAAACATAAATTGTTATTTCATCTCCCCAACGATCACAGTGAGACTGCGTCTTGCCGTCGTCTGTGTTACTCTGAGAGAAAGACGAGATTAAACACTTTAATTTAATTATAGTCTTTAACTTGCACAAAAAACTGTGATATATGTGCTATGAATTACAAAACGACATACCTAAGATCGAATAGGATGCACCAACAAACATGATATTGTTGCCGTTTTAATCAGACAGCTACTTTTAAACAAGGACAGAGCTGTTAACAGATTACTGGAAGGCTTAACAGTGTAGCTACAGAGACAGAAACCTAAAAAACATTACAATACTAATCTGGTAATCACCCATTTCCATTGTTTTGGACTTAGCTGAGCCAAGTTTAATGGATCCAATTTGAACGACTAGTCAACGTCTTACCCCAGTGCCACCTTCCAACCCATTTTAAGGTATTCCCATGCATTGCCTGGTCATGAGGCATACATGGGGCTTTCAGTCACTTCCAGTTCTTCTCCCAGCTCTAATTAGATGCCAGACCACCTCACCAAAATTTACAGCAAGCCTCGCCTGGATGGTGTACATCTGCATCCCATTTCTAAGGCTAATTCCAGCAAATCTACAATAGAAGCTAATTCAGCTACTTGTACCTTCGTTCTTGGCCTTTCAGTCGTAATCTTAAATGGAAGTAAACAAGATGCAAATTACAACTCTACACACATATCTTTATATAGTAAAGAATTTGTTGGTTAAGAGTCAACTACACACAACTCCTGCGGATTCTTCCCCAAATACCTTAAAATCCAAAGATGCAGAAAGAAACCCTAATTTCAAATAGACTAATGTGAGACTTCTTAAGGAAATAAATTACACCAAATAGATCCAACATGCTTTCATTCAAGAAGAACAGCTTTGATATCCTATGGAGGAATTGCATGTGAACGATACCAGCTGAATGTCAGGTAACCATGAAAACCATGTAGTCCATCCATCATTAGGGAGCTCTAGCGCTGCCTCATGTTGGTGCTTGTTATCGGCCTGTGGCTCCAAACATTCTCAGAAACGTCACAGTAGGAAAACTAATTGATTTATCAAAGTGAGCTCAATGCAGACAAACAATCGCCATGGTGTGGGCCCTGTGATTTCTTTTTCAACGCTTTTGGACTCATTGGAAACAGGAACACACACATGCCTGCACCTTCCTCTGCTGGGGACTTACACAATGTCAGACAGAATTAAGCAACAACAACAACAGAAATAACACTAGCCAGTTGCCAGATAGAGAACAATGGGGTCTGGGCCCAAGCCACTCTCTGCTACCAAGTGTCTAAACAGTGAGCCAGTTCACCCAGTCCACTCTACTTCCTGTTCGATAAACACAAGGAAAACAGCCAGCTGCCTTCCTGAGGACACAGGGGGGCAGACGGGAGGATGTGACGGTGGAGGAGAGGAATCCACTGACGGAAAGACACACTGGTTCTTGTGTAGAACTAGACTAGCCTGCTGAGTCAGGGTAGACATGTTGAGCTGCATGTCTATTGGACTTGTAAAGTCATGTCTTTAATATTCAGGTAGAACACAGGCTGTCTGGGTGACAAATGAGTCGGCAAATGAGCAAGAGGAAAATTGAGGAAGGATAACATTAAAATTCAATAAAAGTCTCCAAGGAGACACACCCTTAGTCCTTACGGCAAATCACTATTCTAGCATGCTCCCAATTGGTCGGCCAGTCAGTTTCTCTCAACCCTATGTGATCAGTGACCAACAGGTCAAACACTGCAGTCTGGTTTCATCATCTCCATTAAATGCCAAAAATCTAATGATTTAAAGCACCTTGACGTATAAATGTAGTTTAAGGTTATAGCTGTAAAGGGAAATGTTGAAAAGTTGAGGTTTGAATCTATTAGATCTCTCACCTCTAACAATTTACTTTTTAAGAAGGTAAAACAATTGACTATTTCACATAGGGAAAAAAAAACATTGGAGTTTATTTTTAAAAGGCTTCATATTTATTTTAGGATCAAAATGTATTTTGTATTCAGAAACAATTTAAGCCAGTTTCGCAAATTGGAGGGCTTTGCCACCAGATAGATCATTTCTACATATCAGTTCTGAGGCAAATAATACAGTAGGGAGAGGAATAATCCTCATAATACATAGTTTACCAATAGATTGTTGAATATGTGGAAGCAGTAAAGAAGTGCAAGTACCCAATATCTAAAATTCAACCTCCAAGAAATTAGAAGCTAATGGTAGAAATTGAGATACTTTCAAGATACTTTTCAGAACAAAGTAATTTGATGACTACAGATTTGTTAAAAACATTTTACTGCAGCATTACGAAGACGATAAACACCATTTAAACTGCAGCCTCACAGTTTTCTGAATTTATTCTGCAGTCTCACAGTTTGACCTAAACCTGACCTTTTTAAACAAACATGTATCCAAATGATAGTGAAAAAATGAACATGCTCCATTAAAACGACAAAGGTGTGGTCTCCCAACAAAAACCAAGAAGCGCTCAGAAAAATGTGCTGATCTGCTGGTACATGTGCAGAAAGCACGCCTCAACACATTTACTTCTAAATCAGGCAAACTATAGATATAGAGTAACTTTATCTAGATTTTCCATTATTATTTTTTGCAAAAGCGTATTTAAAAGATGACACTGATATAATACCAATCTTCTTTTCTGCAATAATCTTCCTTTTTCATAAAATTAAAAACAGGGATGCTTACACTCCATAGAGTATTAACTATAGACCCTACGAAAAACTAATGAAACCTTTAAATAACTGTATTATTTAAATAAAATTTACAAAAAATAGAGTCACTTTATTCCCTTAAAATATCCAGCTTAGGTTCAAGACCCACAGAGGACCTACAAAGCACAAAAAAAACTAGAAATTATACCACCATCATGCCAATTACTGTTGCTCTGTATCTTATAGTAAAGAAGCCATACCCAGTTACATTTTGAAGATTAGCACTCTAACTTTCTGACTTTCATCTGTGGTGAATAAAGATCTTTACTGGAGGGGCTCCAGTCAAAACATTATGCGAAAGAATGGTCGGGGTAAACTTTACATCAAATCCAATGGAAAACCTGTGTCAACTTGACAAATAATCAGATACTCTCCTTCCAATCTGAATTACTTTGAGGTATTTTTTAAGAACTGCCAAACATTTAGCTTGTAATTTTGCAGTTATGGTAGAGAGTTGCTCTAAAAACCAGGAACTGTAAAAAGAGTATATGTTATCTCTTTGTAAAGAGAGGTGTTTTTCTAAAATGTCAATAAGCTCATATTTCTCTTTCCTCACCCTCCATTTACTTAATAAACTGACACAATGATAAATGTTACACAAGTCTTAATTTAAACAAAATATTTAGAACTTATTAACAAATCAAATAAAACATCAATGAATAGCTGTTAAGAGGAGCAGCTATGTATGTACTTCAAATTATCTCACGAAGGTTTAATCTCATTTAATTGATTATAATAATTGTTGACTAATTTAGTAACTGAAATTTCTTTGATAGAGATATATACACCAGATATACTGCGCACTGAACTCTGACAAACTCTGCTTTTCCAGCTGTACTTGTGCCGAAATGCGTCTTTGCTCACGCGTAGCTCAGAGTCTGCGCTTCACACTCCACAGTGTAGTTTACTTTCAGTGGTATGGCTCTTCCTGCTCTTGCTACTTCATAAACTATTTGTGGCTGATCATTCTCTGCCAAGCAAAAAAAATCCCTTTGTCCCACATTTTGTTAGCTTGTCTGTCACCTATATTAACCAGTATGATGTGTTGAACTAGATATGCTATTTTCACAGCTTTGCCTAATGCCCTAAAGTAGGGCATTAATGTATAAAAAAGTATTTGAATTCTATTAAATTAAATTTTCTGACCAAAAGCAATGATGAACTTCATAGTAGCATTCTATACCCAGCTATTGCAGTACAGTATCTAGGAAAGAGCCGTCTTTTTGGTAAAGAATGTTATTGGAAATTGTAAAGGTTAGCCGACTAAAACCTTTGAGTTTTACTAAAATTATCACATATAGAATTGACTGAAATACAACTAAGACTAATAGTTTTTGTCCTGAAGACTAAGACTAAATCTAAGATGGCTGTCAAAACAAAACTGATGGCTTATAGTGAGGTGCGCTCTATAGTCCGGAAAATACGGTAAACTCTATCCAGAACTCCTTAGGTGACATGGTTTTAGCTTCACTTGGTTTAAACTCTGTACAAAATCTTCAAGGCACCTTTAAGTATAAGATTCAATGGGAAAAAATCCTCTAGAGATTAATCAATTCGCTAATAATGATTAGTGGCATTGGTGCATTGGCTGATGGCGATATAAGAAAAAAATATATATATATAACCCAAAATATATCTGATATATTAGTCCATCTTTATCCCTTTTCTTCCACCTCCAAATAATGCATTTTTTATACATCAGTGTATTGATTATGGTTGTTATGAAGCTAATCAGTGCAGCAAATACATTCAATTTACCCCAAGAATGTGAACAAAAAAGAATAAAATTGCTTTGCATTGATAAGCAATCAATGAAAATGTAAAAATCAAGAACTTCTTTAATCTTGCATGGGAAGCACAGTTGTCTACTAAAAATTAGAGAAAAAAATAGGGTCAAGACCCATGAATACTTGGATCTGAACCATCCATTTAGGTCCTTTACAGCGACTTGGCTCAGAGCTGAATGTTACAAGCTGGAAGGAAACCAACTTGAATGTTTCGAACAACAATTAGGCCTCAGATCCATCAGTCGCAAATCTACTAAACTAACAACAAGAAACTGCACACAGCTAATCAAAGAGTGATGATGTCAATATCTATTTATTCTCCATTGTCTTCATTCACGGGCGGAAGTCTGTTTGATGAGGGCGCCAAAACAGGATGCAAATACCTCAAATAAACAGGCAGAAGATTGGGCAAAAAGAGATGTCAGAAACTGTAGGTCCTGAGTTGATGAACAACAAGCGCAAGACTCTCATTAAGAATCATTGGTGCCTTCACAGATCAAAGATGCAGTCAGACCTGCGGATATTACAGCCATTGAGAGGTCTTCCTTGGGGGGGATGGGGTGGGAGCTTTATGAGAGGAGTCAAAAAAAAATATAATAAAGCAGGATACAGCTGGTCAAAAAAGACCATCAGAGCCAACATTACTCAGAATAAAGGCTTGTACTGGTAGGAGATTTATGGGGATGACACCATGGAGCATATTTCAGCATCAACTAAGCACAGGTATGGGGATGAATTCATAAAATTTTAATCAGCTTAAATTGAATAATAGATTTGCTAAAAAATGTGACTCATTCTGCATCATATACAGTCTAGTAATGATATTAACATGGGGGGAAAAAAAGAAAATCTCCTTTGTAGCTTTTGATATTAATGCAGTTACAGGAACCCCCTTCTTTCAATGAGTTTTTTTTACACAGCTTTCCACTTTGGGAATGCATGAACCAAACATTTCAATGCTAAAAAATATTTCTAAAGGTATCCAATATTGTCAAAAATACAGGTTTTCCGGGTATCATTAAACGGCAATTGCTTGAGAACCGGTTTCATGAGGACTATGAAAAGGAGAGCAGTGACAAACCTCCAATTTATCTTTTGCAACTTATGTCAATGAAAATGCTAAAGGACTATGAAAAAATTATGAAATGAACAAAATGGTAACATCTTTTAAAGTAAACTGCAGCAATGAAACCTTAACTTACTGCGTGTGTCGTTGTCCCAGTCCCAGGCCTCCACAATCAACGTAAAAGTCCGCTGCAGAAAAGAAAAAACAGACATGAAATTTACAAAAAAATACTCACTTTCTCTACTTTTAGTGCAAACAAAGACAGAGTGTATTTTATAAACTAATCAGTGAAACTTTAGACAATAATTCAAACTAGTGTTGCGCCGATGCCATTTATTTGGCCCCCCGATACCCGAAAGCTGGCTGTGCAGTATCGGCCGATACCAGTACCATCTGTTTCAAAATGATGTGTGTGTGTGTATATATATATATATATATATATATATATATATATATATATATATATATATATATATATGAATAACTGCATACTACTTGGATGTAAAACAATTGCAATCATGGCTTTGTCAAGCTGCTGCCTACCTTTGTGAAGCAGGAAAAAGACTAATAGAAAGTGAATCCAGTAGAACTTTTTATTGCCTACCTGGATTTTTTTTTCATATTTGCTTTGATTCTGATTTATTTTCCTATATTTTAAACATGTAAAGCACTTTGCATTGTCTTTGTACTGAATTGTGCTATACAAATACATTTGCCTTGCCCTGCCTTGGAATGGGTGACAATAGTTGAAGAAACTTTTGGCTCTCAAAATGGTATCAGTGCCCTATTTGTCGGTACTCGCCAATACAGATACAACCATTTTAGTGCCGTATCGGAGCCCTGACAGATACTGGTATCGGTGCAACACCAATTCAAACCAACGAATTACTTCTCTTATGATCTTCCATATTACCTTAATTTTTATATGCTTCTTAAATCTTGATGTATTCTAGATTGCACTTGAGTGCAAATAAAACAATTAGGCAAATAAAATTTCTTGTTCCATTAAAGTTTTTTACTATTATATTTATGTAACACAAGTTCCATGCATGCTAAAAAAAAAACACAAAAAAAACACGTTAGCTTTTACTAGGGAGTAAATATCAGCAAAGGTCATCTTGCTGAGATAGGAGAGCATAATTCCAGTCATCCATTTCTTGAACAAGCATCACACACACATTTGAACAGATGATGCAAAAATCAATTTTATTGCTATTACAGAGTCTGGTATTCAACTTGGCTCCACTACACAGAGTAGTGCTTGAGTTACAGTTCCAATGAAACCCAATGATTCAGAAATAAGAGAGCAAGCTACAGTAGGTCCAACTGTGGGCCGCCAAAAGTAGCAACTGGAGATGAGTTAAGATCAACACATCAACTTGTGTGATGCCTTTAACTGTCCTGTAGCTCCCCACATAAAGCACAACCTGCATGCACTTTTTAGCTTAAAAAGGGAAAGTTCAAGATGTAAAGGTTTTCATTTCAATTCTCAAAATGAGCGCTTTTTTTTTTAAACTGGCCGCGTAGCATGGCTTCAAGCAGCTTTATAAATGAGAAACAGCACTCCTGTGCTCCAAGAGGAGATATCCAGAGAGTCATTATTGGAGGAGTTTCAAATAGGTTGAAAGGAAACCAAGCTATTAGGAGAAACAAAAACTTTAACATATAGAAATGTTGTACTGATATTGTGCCACTAATCAACAACAAGCTGAGAATCACACAAAAAGTAGGCCAAAGCAATTTACGGCTAGTTTGAAGAAAAGTGCCCTTATCCTTCTTTAAATGGCATAAAAAAAGTCAAGAGCAGCTGCTTCCAAAATGCACCGCCTCCATAATTGTTGGCACACTCAAAGTTCTGTAAAAACTCTTTAACAAGTGAATCTTTCAGTTTTCCTGCTAAATTTGTCACAGAAAAATATGTTTAGTGGTGAGATTTTAAATATAAAAAAAAAACTTGAGCCCCTCCCCCCCAGGATCAGATTCAGCATCAACTAACAGATCTGTGCAAAAAACAAACAAGGAATTTTCTTTAGTTTCACACCGTTGATGATTCCATTGCAATTATGTTCAAGCAAAATACATTTTTTATATATTTTTTTGTTATATTTACAAAAGGTGCATGTACATTTTTGAATATACATGCACCTTTTAACAGGTTCTTAATTGTAAGCCTTTTTATTAGTGCTTCAGCTGCATATAGGACAATTTAAGGAGTTTATCTCACTTTTAGCCCATTAATGGCTCCAGATCAATACTCTTATGAGCTTTTTGAATGGCATTTTCTCTTATTGTTCCACTTTTAAGTTTTTTAAAGAAGTTTTAAGCAGCTCGTAAGGCCTTTTTGGTTTTTTACCTTGGAAAATAGAAGTTCTGAACAATCATTTATATTTTATCAGCACTCTAATCAACATTAAAACAGAAACAACTCAAGGATCAATAGCTACATTTTTATCACAGAAGTTGTGAAGGGAGGGAGCACTACCATTTGTGGGTAACTTTAGTAAACAGACAACAAAAACAACCTACATTTTTTGTCTATTCAATCATATACTGAAATTTAAAAGAGGATGATTTTCAAAATATTTTAACCTGTATCAATTATTTTATAAAATTTTCAAATTGTTACAATAAAAATTTGTATTTTAGGAGTTTTAACAAATCTCTATTAGCTGTAAATAAATGTGGGGGTCTTACATTTCTAGAATAAGCTGAAATCCACTGAAAATGGTTAATCTGGATGAAGACTGGAATAATGACCTGAAGCCGGGGTCAGAGTAGATTACTGCCAAACAGCAAGCTCCCATTTGGAACAACAAAAGCTAATATTTCACTTTTTTATTATGCAAATTTGTTTCAGTGTTTTCCTGAAAAAAAAACAAAGAATAAAAACAGATTTTCCTAATATGATTGCAGATGAATCCCTTTGTCTGTGAAATGCACAAGAGTAACGGGCCTTGCCCTGTGCTGTGAGACGAGGAGGTAAATCACCAGTAAGTGGATTATCACGTTTCACACCAAGTTATGCTTTACACTAGTAGGGTGTTGATGAATGTTGGTTTCCTCTCTAATGTAGTTCATACACTATGGGGTTAAGGATATATATATCAAACCTGTTAGTTAATGTTTCAAAACCTTAAGATAAGGATTATAAAGCATTTTAGATGAAACATTAATTTAACGTTTAATTTATTAATTTGGATAATTCAAGCATGTTGAGACAAAATATGTTTCTTCAAACTTAAAAAAAAAACAATTTTGGAAATGACAGAAATATAGAACCACAAATGAATAATTTCAATTATTATAATGATCATTTGAAGCCTTTTCATTCATTCGACAGCATTCTTTTTAGATGTAATCCATTGAAAATTGTATTGACTCTGCAGTAATCACAGTATCACAACTGCTTTGATTTACTCTAAATAGTCGTTCACACACAGATGGGTGCTACCTAAGCAAACCAGCATCACTGCTAGGCAACCAGCTGACCTAAATAGCAGTCATTACATCACTACCAGTGACAGTTGTAGTAGCCATAGTGTGACTGCTGTGACCTCTAGTGTAATGTCACTGATGGGATGGTGGAGCATGATTGGGGCTCGTTAAGGGGAGGAAAAAATGGATTTCTGAAAGCATGAATCAAGCTGGGAGAAAGAAACCAAAGGGGAAAAAGACTGCAGAATGTGTGTTTCTAAGTGTGTGTTGTTGATCTGAGGGACCAGCAAGCTGGTAGGCTGGTTGCTGCTGGGCTGTGGGATTAAGCAGGCTTGTCTGGCTGTGGGTGGTGGTGGGAGGTAGGGGAGGGGAGTGTTTTTTTGTGGACGACCACGGTTGACGAGAATAGAAGGACTGATGATGGGTTAGCGGGAGAGCTAAAGAGATCCATCAGTGTTTAAGAGCACAGGTGCACAACACCACATCAACAGGTAAGATACTCAAAATCAAACAGGTGAAGAGATCGTCAAGGTGAAAACCAAAAGAGAGCAAAAAGAGATCGGTTGGTATGTACAACTTAATGTTCAGGGTGATGCTGCAGGAAACTACATCCATCCATCCAACTGCAGACATGCAGCAGATGCAGCCTCAGCAATGGATTATGTGACATGAACGTGCATCATCCCACGACACGTAGCTCGGCTTCTGACCTTTCCACCCATCCCCCCACCAAAATAGGAAAGGCTGGTTGCTCCTGAGCATGTGGGTGGGTGGGTATGCCAATGCATGAAAAAGAACTGATTGGCAACACATACGTCATTAAAGGCAAATCGATAAATACATGGCTAACGGGGAAAGGAAACAGTCTAAGAAATAGCCAGAGGCCTGACTGAATATTCTAAACTTCCTTACATGCTTACATGGTGTAAACACTTTATTAAAGAGTCCTTCAAGTCAGGGAAGAGCAAAGCCATGGACTAGACTGGTTTCCCACAGACGATCCCAGTCTGTGATTGGCTGGATTAAGTGACAGCTGCCCAAATGGTTCGAACAAGATAAATGGATGGGCAGTGGGATAAAGGAGTGGATTGGGGGAGGGAATGGGTAAAGGCTACCAAACAAAGACCCTTGTCCCAACACCGTAACTCACCCCCATTCCAATCAAAACCATTGTCCATGAAGAGACACAGTCAGCACGAGGACAATTAGTGTCAGCATGTGTGCTGCCCAGCCTGAGCAGGACAGTGTCAGGACAGCCCGCAGCGGTCCTTCAGAGTCCTCGTAGTATAACTAAATGGGTTACACTACCGAAAAAAAACAAAACAATTGTCATCTCAATCTACCCCTCTTTTTAGCTTTTTGCTCAAGGTGGAAATAATTAAGGAGTCATTTCGGTCTGACATTAGAAAGAACATAAAGCTAAAATCCTACTCCTTCCCCTCATGGATTAGAGGATTTAGACAGAGGAATCCTTCATTTCAAATAAAGAATTGGGACATGGAAGAAAAACATGGAGTATCTTCACTTAAAGCAACAAGCCCAAACCCAGGTAAAAAAATAAATAAGAAAAAGCCTTTTCAAAGAACCCAGGTATCCATTTTAAACCTTAACAATACAGTACAATTGTGACTAGGGATAAAGTTGTGATGGTGCTGCCTGGGGAGAGCCACAGGTGTAGGTTCCCACGCCAGATGAAGGGGTGGACAGATGAGTGGAAGGTAGTCGTTGAAATATAAAAGGGACAGGGAGACAG